GATCCTTTCCAGAGACAATGACCTAGCCCAGAAGAATATTCTTTCACCTTAAACAAACCGACAGACAAAAAAGTCAACTCCATCAGTAGGTCTTTGCGGATGCATCTTGTGAAGGTCAACACCGAGAGGGGTCAGACAGGATAATGAGATGCGTGAAGGGCAAAGGAATGGATCTCTAATGGTGAACTTTCAAGGCTCCCTGGGAGGCGAGCCCGATCAGGTTGGACACAGAGCTTTCTACCTGCTAATAGTGGGGTTCGGATGGATGACTGTTGGTGCAGGGTGTGTATAAAAATTAGTTTCTCCTTAGCTTAACTCTAAGGAGAATCAACACACCCAGGACTGAGGTCGGCGGTGGGTCTGTGGGTCTAGGAGGCAGGGCTGCAAAGGAGGAAGCCGTGTAGGCAAAGTCCTTCAAGGAAAGCCCCTGTGATAACAGAACCAGGAAGGCCACACCAGCTTGGTCTTCACAGCCGGTCCCAGCAGCCCTGGAACCTCTCACGATGTAAACCAAGAGGAAAGGGTCCTGGCAGGATTCTCGGGTAGCCAGACTCCTGAGAGTCAGGGCCGGGTCTCAGCCTGGGCTCAAAGACCCCGCCAGGAGGGCTCTGCCCTGCTTGCCCTCCCACCCCAGATGTCCAGCTCCTGCTGCCCATGGGCTCCGCCCCACCGGGTGGTGCTGCGTAGAGGAAATGGACAGTGCTCCGGAAAAAGTGCTCTGAAACCTTGGTTCGCGCATATCCTGGCTGTGGGGAGCCATCAAAGCTGTTTACTAGGCTATTTTTAGCATTAAAGACTCTGGTCTTTAATGCTCCCCCAGGCTGTTCATGCACCATCCCAGCCGAGCTTCGGGTTCTGGGGGCCCCCTGGCTCACTTTCTTGGGGTCCGAGCCTGAGAGTCCTGGGAAGCAGGCAGCTGCGGCCTCCAAGCTGAGGACTGAAAGACCCAGTGGACAGCTTGTTGCTCACCTAGTGTGGCCCCCGGCCTTTCATCTGCCCCAAGGTTTATTCTCAGTTGCTATGGAAGCCGCCTGTCTATAGATCCTCTGAGGACAAGAGACGGCCCCTTATGGTTCGAAATCCCTGGTGCTGCCTAGCCTGGGCGATGGCACCCTCCATGGCAGCAGCAGACAGTGACCTTGTGTTGGCACACAGTAGGAGCCCAAGAGCGGCCCTGTTGTGGTTAGCTGACATCAAGCCTGCCCCTGACTCATGGCTACCTAGTATGTGCAAGGGGATGAGACCACTGTGATCCCCAGGGGTCTCATGGGCGGATGTTCAGAAACAAATCGCCAGGCCTTTCTTCCTCGTCTTCCTCAGCTTGGAAACTCTGCCGAGAAATGCTCACTATCATAGCAACACGCGGCCTCCACCAGCGATGGGGGATGGCTGAGAATTAAGCCCTGGTCTCCTCATGAAAGGTGAGAATTCAAGCCCTGAACTACTCATAGTGCCTCCTTAAGAACTGCCTAATGAGTGGATTTTCCTTCTGCCTTACACTGAGCTGACATTGTTGATAGGCCTGGGGAGATGGCATGCCCGCCCACATGAAGGAGCAGGGTAGAAGGCAGAGGGAGGTGAGGAGAGCCCAGCTCCTGTGCCTTGGAGTGAGGGTCCTCCTCCCTGCAAGGCAGCTTTCACCCTCCCCTCCAAGTACGATGAGCACCCGCTGGCCAGACGCACTTTGAAGCTCTGAGAACGACAAGCGCATGCTGCAGCAACGAGCAGTCCGCCGAGGGAAGGGGCCCCACCCAAACCCTGCTGTCCGCGGGCCCTCGGGAGCGGCCTGCTGGCTTCCTGGCCCTTCAGCCATATTGTGCTTCAGTTCCAAGACATTCTGTTTCCATCCTGGCCCCACAGCACCCCTCTCTTCTCCCACCCTCCCAGAGGCTGACTGGCCTGCTGCAGTGGCCAATTTCGCCACCTCCTGGAAGCATGTGTACTGGGCATGGATGGGAACCAGTTTTGACTGTTGGGACTGTGAAAAAAAAAGACCAGGAAATTTTAAGCAGAAGTATTTCCTCTGGACCCAGTTAACCCTAACAGGGTTGTCTTAGGAGGACTCTTGATGTAGAAGTCAGTTTTGCCACTGAGATCAACGCAATGGGAGAGAAAAATGTCTTCTCTAGACCAGAAGCCACAGGACTGGCCTGCTGCTTGCCAGGAGAAAGGAGTCGCCTCTCTGACGTCATTTACACGATGCTGAAAACCTCTCCTCACCCAACCTCCAAAATAGGTCACCACCTGCCAAACTAGGCAGATACTCCCAGCCTAATAGGGTGGCTCGTGGGCCTTGACTTAAGGTGGCGGTTCTCAGGAGTAGGCTGGAAACTTGATAGCAAGACAGAGTCTTGCCCTCCACTCTCAATCCCCACCCTCAACCGACTGTCACACAACCTTTCCCAAGCTGGCAGGGTGGTGTAGCCTGTCCAGTCACACAGGACTCCCCACTGAGTAGGGCCCAGAGCTTGGTTTAATTCTGTAATGAGAGTCCCCCATATTTCCTCTGCCTGGGGCCCCCTTATATGGATAGCCAGTGCTGGGCCCAGAAATGTGTATTTCAGCCGGCTCACCCCAATGCTTCTGGTGCATGCCAAAGTTTGAAGTCCTTGAGTTCAGTCACCTCTTCTCCTAAAGCCCCTGGTGAAATAAATGCAGCTGGGAGCTGGCAGAGCTGAGGTTAGCAACACTATCGCCCACACCTGGAGCGTTGGTCCGTTATCAGTTCAGCTAAATGGTTAGTTGGTCCAGAGCAGGTGCATCGGCAGAGACCCTGAGCAGGAGTTGCGTATGGGAACATGCGTGTTACAAGACTTTTCCCATCAGGAATCATAAACAGGGGAGGCCACCAGGGTATGGCTCTGTCACACCCAGTGCTTGGCTCCGAGGGCCGCTCTGACTCTCAACAGGCAGCACTCGGTCCCTCAGAAACAGCAGCATTTGGGACTCCAGCGCCTTTGTGGAGCCTGTGTCCCGGGAGGTGGCGGTGTCCTGGAAGCCCCTTGGTAGGGACCTCTCCTGATTTGAATGTGTTTTCCTTGAGGGATGAAAATGGCATGTATCCCAGAGCCTTAATTCGGAGGTTCAAGGAAAAAGAGAAAACATAGTGAAAGGAGGCGGGAGCCATTGTAGAAAGACCCTTGGCCTCCTCTCCCAGCACCGATTCGTTCGTCGCCACCGCTCCTAGATCTCAGCGTACTCTGCATTCCTGCAGTAATCGGGATGGGAAAAGCTCCGTTTGGTGACTGAAGGTTCACTTTTCTAAGTGGCAAATGAGGCGGTCATTTCCTTGTCTTAGGAATTGGGCAAGAAATACCTGAGTTGATGTTTGTACTGGAGGGATACAATTTTCTTATATCAATACATGCGTGTTTATGGTTAAATACTGAAATAAAGGTCTGTGTTCTGAGGGAAATGGCTCAGGGCCTGGGCCTGAGAGGCCCGTTTGTCTGGGACGATAGCTGAGTCCTATTTTACAGCTAGTAGAAGTAGACTCGACTGGCTCGGGTTAGTCTAGGTGGATGGTTTAGATGTTGTCCCAGGTTGCCCTTAGCAACCACCTCTCCAGCCTGCCACCCGTGCAGTTGCCTCTTTACTCTGTTCCATGTCTCTGGCTTCCACCCTCCAAACCATTCAGCAGGCCACTACCAGAGAAATCACCGCTGAATGGTACTTGGAGATACCAAACCTCTGCCCCCAACCCTGGGATAGGAGATGCCCCCAGGGTCCCAGCCTAGTCCCTGAGATTGGGGAACGGGCCTACTTCTTCAGCCAGATGACCTCCTCTAACGTGCCCGGGAGGAGTTTGCTACTGACCACCCTCTCCGACATGCCCAGCCAGAGAAGCCCTTCTCTCTACTAAGTGAAATCCTGTCTTCCACGAGTTCCCTCGCCGTCTCCTTCTTGGAAACAGCTGTCTGCGACAATCTCTTTTTGTGTACTCCTGAGAGCCCTGCCACCACGGCCACACGGCCCGCCCAGCAAGATGAGGACAGGGATAGTGACCTAGACGCGTGGGCACAGGGACGGAATTTACCCGTGTTGATACTGTCTGTGGCACATTACCTACTTACTCAATCCTCACAAGCCAGAGCGATGGAAGTTAGTATCCTCCGCTAGCTGTGGGGGAAACTGGTGTTTGAAGTCAACGGCCTCATACGAATCAGGCTGGGAAGGGATCTGTTTATTGGGTTCTGAAGCCTGTACCTTGTTACGAGCGTGGCGTCTGCAGTCAGCTTCCTGAGTGTCAAATGGGCTCCGCAAGCTTTACCGTCTCAGGCTGGGGACTTGGCCTCTGGTGGCCTGGTCGGTAGAAGGAGACTGAGAAGAAATGTGGAGATGATGTAGCATACTTAGGTCCTGGTCCACAGCAATTGCTCAACATGTATTAGCACAGTGGTTCTCAACCTGTGGGTCACGACCCCTTTGGGGGTCGAAGGACCCTTTCACAGGGGTCACCCGATTCATCACAGTAGCAAAATGACAGTGACGCAGTAGCAACGAAAGTAAGTTTATGGTTGGGGGGTCACCACCACATAAGGAAGTGCATTAAAGGGTTGCGGCGTGAGGAAAGTTGGGGGCCACTGCTCTATGTGGTGGTGCTTGGCACGTGGCCGGTACATGGGTCTCGGCAGCGTGCATGTCCAGATATGGCCATTGGTGCCTCTGCACCCTCCCCAGAGGCCATCCACCTGTGCTCGTCACATCTGCCTTAAAGCCCTATTCTCACGAGTCCTTTAACCCCCCCCCCCCATCTTTCCAGTGTGCTCAGAAAACGAGTCTGAAGCGGAGGCTGACCAGCAGATGGATAACCTGTACCTGAAAGCCTTGGAGGGCTTCATTGCCGTGGTGACCCAAGACGGCGACATGATCTTTCTGTCCGAAAACATCAGCAAGTTCATGGGACTCACACAGGTGACCCCTTCCTTGGGCTCTTCCAGAAAGGGGAAAGCATTTCCATCGGTGGGCAGGAATTAGGGACCTCTCTGCTTTTGCCCACTCCGACCCTCCCTGGTCTCGGGCAGGACTCGCTGGTCTGCTTTGGAAATGGCTTTGGCATTGCTTATGGCCCTCCGCGGGGTAAGCTCTCTGCTGACTCCATAAACCGGCCAGCCTTTGGGAAGCAGCTCGCGGTCATCAGCGGGCACGCCTCTCGTCCATTCTTAGTGAGCCCAGAGACTAGACCCGGAAGAGGAGGAGGCCCCGCTCCAGAGGCGCCCTTTCCCCTGTTCTGGAATGTGACTCCGTTTCCTCCTGGAGTCTGCTACTGCAGCGTTAGGAATAACCAAGCCTGATCTTGCTTTTGAAATAGGTGGAGCTAACGGGACACAGTATCTTTGACTTCACTCACCCATGTGACCATGACGAGATCCGTGAGAACCTGAGTCTCAAAAATGGTAAAGTAGCCTTCCCGGTGTGCTTCCTTCCTCCTTCGCCCCCTGGGAGGAGTGCTGCATTCTGTTTGCCCATCAGGGCAGGACAGACAGCCCCTGGCCTTCACAATCCAGGAAAGACAGACACCCATAAAAAGCCGTGCAGGGCTGGGCTCTGCAGAGACATGTAGGCTGCGAGCTGTGATTGCAGCACTGGGAGAAGCCAGCACTCAGCGTTTATCTGCAGCTGGGTCTTCGAAATGCCTGGTATCCCAATCCGAGGCCACTCTTTTGGGTTAGGCCATGGTCTCTATGAGGTTTCAGCAAGCAAGAATCTAGCGCCTCTGCTGTGTGACCCCCTCAGACCGACACCCTTGTTTCTGCCAGTGCCTCCTGGGAACAGCTGCAGTGGCCTGTTCCTAGGTTACAAACCGCCTCAACGTGCAGTGGCTTCAACAAGCAATCATTTTCCTGTCTCTCACCTTTGATGGGCAGTTCTTTTGTTCCATGTCACCTGGGCAGCACAGCACATATCTGGGAGTTCACCTGGGCTGACCTGCATGACTCACTCTGTGGCCAATCCCGTTGGAAAGGGTTGGCCTCAGTGGGGATGCTGGGGTGGCTGGAGCCCTCTCCTCTCTGCATGGTGTCTCCAGGGTAGGCGGATTCCTGACAGGACAGGATTCTCAAAAGAGCACAGGTAGAAACTTCTGGGACCTCCCATGGGTTAGCCCTGCATCCATCGCGGAAGCAGAGGCTTGAAGTTGGAGCACAGCAAAGGAGTCTCATTTTCCTCTCCACCCCTGAAAGCCTTGGCCCTTGGAGTCTTGGGACCAGATGACTGTTGACCCTAATCTCAACTCAACTGTCTGGCCTGAGCCCAGTCCCTTCACCTCTCTGCTCCTTAGGGCTTTCATTTCCAATTGACTGCATGGGCCAGGCCACACCTGGGGCCTTCCAGCTCCCACATCCTGATTCACAGCCATGCGAGCTGTTTCTCTGAGTAGAACGTTAGAACTTTCGGTCCACTTATTCGGTATGGGCTCAGATTTGGTCAATCAGTAGCTCCTCATGGTATTGGACCTGTATCTGCAGACAAAGTTAAGGTGAGCTTCTAGAGCAGTGGTCCTCAACCTTCCTCATGCCGAGACCCTTTCATGCAGTTCCTCATGTGGTGGTGACCCCCCAACCATAACATTACCTTCGTTGCTACTTCATCACTGTCATTTGGCTACTGTGATCCATCGGGTGACCCCTATGAAAGGGTCGTTCAACCCCCAAAGGGGTCGTGACCCCACAAGTTGAGAACTGCTGTCCTAGAGGAAGGTAAGACCGAGAGACAGATTATGGAAGTCTTTGACAGTCAGGCAGAGGCTCTCCAACTTTATCCTGTAGAGCAGGGGTGTCAAACTGGCAGCCCGCGGGCCGCATGCAGTCCCTGAGGTAATGTTTTATGGCCCATGATGCTCGGAAGTAAAATCTAACGAGGTAATTGGGTGTACCATATTGCCTTGATTTCCCCTACGTGCTATTTTATTTATAACAATTTTTTTTTCTATATTCATTTTATTTCAGAGCATCATGGGCCATAAAACATTAACCGGGGGGCCGCATGCGGCCTGCGGGCCACCAGTTTGACACCCCTGCTGTAGACATGGGAACGTGTGAAGGTCGGGAGCAGAGTGAGTGATCAGAGCGGAGTTGAGAAAAGTTAACTCATGCCAGACTAGGGAGAATCTGGAGGTTAAATTATGAGGAAGCCACATTAATAATCCAAGAAAATAGCCGCACGAGAGTCTTTCTCCTGACACGTAGGTGGGTTCTGTTGGGTCCAGACAGCAACTCACTTTGTATCTTGTATCTCATTATCTGCAAGCTCCACCTATGCAAATGAAAATTATAATACACATAGCTAAGGATAGGACAGGGAGCATTGTCAAGATGAGGAAAGGCTGTTCTGTCTTACAAGGAGTAAGAGTTCCCATTGCCCATTGCTTAACTCTGCTACAGATGTCTAAAATAATTCAAGGGTGCTTCACCTCACCCCATACGCAGTGCTTCAGGGATGTGAATGTTCACTGGATCAAAGACATTTAGGTGAAGATGCTAGTGGCTGCACCTCACCTGCTGCCACGAATCTGATTTTGACTCTTAGCAACCCGGGCTGCAAATCTTTCTGAGAGCAGAAAGCCTCCTCTTTCTCCCATGGGGTGGCGGGTAATATTCAGACTATCGATGGTGTAGTTAGTAGCCCAGCTTCTTACCCACTGTGCCACCAGGGCTGCTGGTATAGGCCCAGCACGAGGCAGGGGTGGTAGTGTAGGCAGAAATCAGACATGGACCAGAGGGACTGAGCTGGCTCCTGCCATACCCAGGACTTTGTGTTGTATAAGGAGGTACAACCGGTTCTGATTGGACTTGGCTGTTTGGGGAGGCTAAAAGAGAGAGTTATGGTGTTGGTCTTGATGATTTATTCCATTCTGGCTGACAGTGGACCTGAGCTATCTTGAGTTACTCCTCAAAGTCAGCTTGCTCACCAAATCCCTGGAGATTCGGAGCAGAGGTTTCTCTTGTGCCTTGACGTGCGTCCGTCACTATCAAGAAGAAGTTGTTGGCACGTGAACTTGAAAGCAGTTGTTGGGGACGGCCAGTGGAGTGCAGCAGGGTTCAAATTGTTGAAGGCCAGTTAGGAAGCAAAGAACAGTCTGTGTGAGACGTATGCCCTGGGAGGAGGCGTGGCTGCTCAGAATCCCTGTTAGCCAACCCAGGGTGGCCTCAGGGGAGAGCATGTGTCATGGCTGCTGGATTGAGGACGGACCATGTCCTAGGTACGATAGGAAAGAACACGGCGGCCTTAGCCATACCTTTGGGGGATTGTGTCCCAGTTAAAGAGAGAAGCTGGAGATTAGAAACATTAATCCACAGGCCAAGAAGGTGCTGGGTGTGTGTGGTGGCCTGCAGGCGCTCAATGAGCAAGTGGGTGGTGGTCACGGGGTAAATGGAGAGGGACCTTTTGTTTGGGAAATACAGACAGTGTCTTTCCCAGGACAGTGACAGCAAAGCCCCTCTTCTGGGCCTAAGACAGAATTTGCCTGCCCTCCCCACCACCTTCATCCAGGCTCCGGATTTGGGAAGAAAAGCAAAGACATGTCCACCGAACGAGACTTTTTCATGAGGATGAAGTGCACGGTCACCAACAGAGGCCGAACCGTCAACCTCAAGTCAGCCACCTGGAAGGTACGACGGCCTCGGGGTGGGGCTGGAGTCCCGGCTGGGCGACGCTGGGCCCCGGAGCCCTGCTCCCAGAGGCTGGGCCTGTGTCTGACTCTTGCTGGTCTCTAGGTGCTGCACTGCACTGGCCAGATGAAGCTCTACAACAACGGGCCCCCTCACGGCAGCCTCTGCAGCTTCCAGGAGCCCCTGCTCTCTTGCCTCATCATCATGTGTGAGCCCATCCAGCACCCGTCACACATGGACATCCCCCTGGACAGCAAGACCTTCCTGAGCCGCCACAGCATGGACATGAAGTTCACCTACTGCGATGACAGGTGCGGGGGTCGGGGGGTGGCATCTGGTGTGCCTGCCTGTAGGGTCGGGGTGGGTCTCACCTGCATGTGTGTGTGTGGTTGTGCCCGTGGTCAAGGTCTGGGGTTGGGGCATCCGTGTGGTACTGCTGGGTGCGTGCAAGTGCGTGCGCCTGTTCTCCGGTCCGGTTCCATCAGTGCAGCTCAGGGGGTTCCTACTGTCATGTCCGGTGGCCTCTTCTATGTAGCGGCCTCAGAGTCTGTCTGCAGAGTTTTGCTACACCACCTTCCGCATATGGACCCCGCTCCGGAGGGAATTCCACGCAGGCTTCCTCCCCCAGGACGTAAGGGAGCTCTGGGCTGGGGAGCTCCCTCTTCCCTTCCCTTCCCTTCCCTTCTGTGTTTCCTGCTCCTGAGTGCAGCTCCATCCCAGCCATCGTGCTAATCAGGCTTTGAAGGGTTGTACTTTAAGAGTGTGAACAGCATCTACCGCAGCGGTTCTCAACCTGTGGGTCGCGACCCCTTTGGGGGTCAAACCACCCTTTCACAGGGGTCGCCGGATTCATCACAATAGCAAAGTGACAGTGGTGAAGTAGCAACGGAAATAATGTTACGGTTGGGGGTGTCACCACCACATGAGGAACTGTAGGAAAGGGTCGCGGCCTGAGGAAGGCTGAGAATCGCTGCTCTACAGTCTAATTGAGCCCGGTTCCCGGCCACCTCAGGTGTCTCGGGGTTTGGCAACAGTTGTGACTTTTCAGAAGCAGGTCTCGAGCCCTTTCTTCCTGGATGGGTTAGACAGGCCAACCTTTCCGTTCGTGCTCAAGCGCTTAACCATCCGCACTACGAAGGGCCTTCCCGACCCTGACGTCAGGCCCCTACGGAAATTCCTTTGTGGTAAAAAGGAGTGGCTAAGCGCATGGACGCTGGGGTAGATGGTTCCAATCCCATCACAAAGCTTTCACAGGACCTTGTTTTTCACCCACACAATCGCTGGATGGAAGTCGTTGCAAGAGCTCCTAAGACTATGGACTTTCTCCTCAAAGGACGGTGTCAGCTTGTGTGAGTCTGAGCGGACTAGAGAAACAAGTCAGGGAGGCTCATATGTGTAGAAGAAAGAGCTTTATATAAAAGAGCAATTGCGTATTGAGAAGCCATCCCAGCCCAGTCCAGATCAAATCAGTACGTCCAACATTAGCCCATATGTTCGATATGAGTCCATAAATTTTTCTTTAGACTCACGCAGCCATGCAAGGACGCTGAGTGCAGGAAGATCACAGGCCAGTGGGTGGAAAGTCCTGTGGATCCAGTGGCGGTGGACACATCTCAGCACTGGCGTGGGTGTCCATGTGGCTCCTCCAGCTCCAGGGCTCTGGCTTCATCAGCTTGGTTCCGTGTGGCTTGTCAACAGGAATGCCTCCCAGGGAATGAGTGTAGGTCTGGCCTCCAGTGAGCTATTTATCGCCTTAGCGGCTCCAAATGAGGTCATCCAGCTGCGACCTGATTGACAGGCTAAACCCCATCCCTTCACTCTTAATTGTCTCAAGTTGACACCAGATTTTGTAACTACCACACAACTTGAGGGTTGGATCAGGGTGGCAAGTGGCTTGACTTATAATGCAATGGCATGTTCAAGCCCCACCCCAGCTCCTAGCTCTCGAATTTGTCTGACGTCTGGCTCCATCACTGGAAATGCAGGGTCCTGATGATGGTGAGGCGGAATAGACAGGGAGGAGGAGTAGAAGGGGTGAGCAAAGATCACCGCTAAGGAGTGACAGAAAAGTCAAGAGAAGGTGTTGGCTGAGGGACACAGAGCCCAAGTTGGCCTGACCTAGTCAATGTGACCATGGCCTGAAGGCTGGGCATCCCTGCGTGTGCCCTGCTGGCACCCCCCATCTGGCCTTGACTTTCTGTAGGATCCAGGCACCATTCCCCATGGCTGCTCTTTGCCCCTTCAACCATGCCCCTGGCATTGCATATGGTCGCTTCTCAGGAAAATCCCACGAACTCCATTTCCCCGTCTCTCAAAGGGGAAGGATAACACTCGTCAACCTAAGATGTGACCGTGGCCACGAGAAGCCTCTGAAAAGCCCAGGCCCTGTTGCACATGCAAAGCTTCTCGTCATCGCTTATGTCAGGCTCCCTGTTCTAACCCTCCCACAAAGCACATCCTCCCCACCGACCTCAGGGAGCCAGGATCCCGTCTAAAGGCGCTTAGTAACTGGGGTGGTGGAAAAGAATTAACGAGCTGTCCTCGTCACCGGCAGGAAACTCCAGACTGTCCCCGGTAGACATTTCTCATGAAGTTCATGGTCTTTATTAAATGATAAAGACAACGCTGTCCCTATTCGAAAACCTGTCAATATCCCATACGTAAAGAATAAGAAAGAACATGGAAGCTATTGTGACTTCGGGAAGGGGTAAAGTGGGGGCTGGAGATGACATGGACATAATAACTCAATTTCAAGGCTCCAATATATTGTTGACCAAGAGTGAGAGAAGCAGTTCTCCACCTGTAGGTCAAGACCCCTTTGAGGATTGAGCAACCCTTTCCCAGGAGTCGCCCGATTCATAACAGTAGCAAAATGACAATGATAAAGTAGCAACGAAAATAATTTTGTGGTCGGGGGCTTACCACCACACAAGGCACTGTATGAAAAGGTCATGGCATGAGGAAGGTTGAGAACCCCTAGCATAAAGAGTCATTCTAAGTTATGGTGTATTCATTGTCTTCTCTTTAATGGCTTTCCATGGTATAGCCTGTAAGCAACTACCGTTTCGATAAAAGAAGGGCATGGGGCATTGGGCATTGAGCCAGCGCCTGAAGAGGGCATGTCCCCAGCAAGGAGAGGCCTTGTGCCCCACCTCCTCCTGTGACTCAGGCCTGGTAGGCAGCACAGACACCTGATGGCCTCTTTCGGGCCTTGTGACTCATATGTGGAGGGTGAGATTGCCGATAACTTCTGCTGGACACCTGGCGTTTTCAGCCAAGTCTTGCCTTCCAGGCACCTGGCTCGCCGAGGCAGGCTCTGCCTGCAGTGGCGCTGGCGAGAGGAAGGAGGAGGCGGTCCAGACCGGCTGTGCTCGGATACACTGAAGTTGGGCTTTGCCACTCACAGATTCATTGTTCGGGGCTTTCACCACGTCTAGAAGTGACTATTTTAAACCTGTTTTCTAAATCACTTTTAGGAGAGCTGGGGCCGTTGTTGTTTCAGTAGCTTGTTTTGCTTTGTTTCACTTGGTGTTAGGGTGAGAACTGGCAGGAAGGGGCACATGCGTACACACACACACACACACACACTGACACGCCCTTCTCCTGAAGCCCTGTCTTCGTGATCGAGTACTGCTGTCCTAGAAATCCCACACGTGAGTGGCTTTGATAAATCAAGTCCATTTCCCACAGTTTAGGAAGCGCAAAGTCCAAGTTTCTGGTGCTGGCTCCAAGGGAAGGCTTGCGGTCTCTGTCAGCTCTAAGGGCCAGTGCTGGTCTCTTCGGCTCCCTCTCCTGGCTCCTGGTGGTTGGCCACCAACTCCCCCATCTCTGCTTGCTGGCTTGCTTGAATCTGCTCTTTTTCATACCTTGTAAGGGAGCCTGAGGAAGCAGTTTGCTCCCATGAAGATGGTCAGTCTCAGAAGCGCTGTCCTATAGGATTGCTGAAAACCTAAATTTGCTCATCAGCTGTGGACCAATCCATATAGAGATCGACTCAAAAGACTCCCTCCACTCATCCTGCTTCATGAACGTAACAAAGACCGCCCAATTCCCAAATGGGATTATTACCACAGGCATCGAGGTTAGGATTGATGACACATTTTTCTGGGGGAGAGGGAGCCACGATTCAATCTATAATAATACCCTTTTGTGATAAATGCTTCAAAACCAGTACCTTCCTGTGTTAGCCAGTGGGGAAGGGCTAACATTTCCGCCAGGAAATAACCAGGTGTACTGATGGCTGGCACACACAAGACGCCATGGTTTCCCACAAAGGGGATTGTTTTCCCTTCAGGGAAACTAGGACGCATCTCATGAAAATGCGAGGCAATTAGGAGCCCCAAAAGCACTTTCGAGGTGCTTTGGAACTTTTCACTCATCAAACAACAAGAATAAAGAGATCGTGGATAAAATGAGAACACCGAGGAAAGAGGAGAAAGAAAGAAAAGATTACTAAGAGATTTAAAGAAAGAAGAAGAAGGCTGTCCCCACACAGATGAAGTCCTCATTGGACTCCCTTGGACCACTGACCAGGAAGGGGAAGTAGTCTTTCCCTCGCAGGCAGAGTGTACTGGAAACTGTATCACCACAGGTAGAATCAAGTTAAAATTCAACACCCTGTCATGTGCTTTCCCTTCTTACCCACTTTTAACGTGTCCTGCTTTCTATTATCTCCTGCTTGTTCTTGGATTGAGGTGTTTCTGTATTTTATTTTACTGTTGTTGTTGGGGGAGTTTGTATTATTTCCTTTATATGAAATGCACGATACATGAAGCTAGAGAAACAGTAGCTAAATTAATCGTTCCTTAGGGTTATGATAGCTAGAGATGGGGGTGGGGAGTAATGGGGTGCTAATAATAATAGATATGACAATGAAGAAAATATTTTAAAATTGATTTTGGTGATGATTATCTGTATGTTTTTAATATAGTTAAGCCATTGACATGCGTGGCACATGAATTATGTGCCAATAAAACTTTCTGTTTAAAAAGGAGACCTACAAAAATATATACACAGAAATAATTAAATAAAAGAAAAGCCAGATAATAATAAATAAAAATATTGAGAATGCTGGTTGCCTATAGAAGATAGAGGCAGTACAAATATGACCAGAACAGGGTGCACAGAACAGCTTCAAAGAAACATTTCTACTCCGGCAGCTGGATGGCAGATATAAGTGTGGTCAATTTTAGTGCTGTTATTTTAAGACATAGTTCCATTGGCATAGTATTTACTTCTAAAAATAATACATCAGTAATGTAAATAAATATATTTAAATTCAGGAAAAATAAATTCTAAATGAATATGCCAAGGTGGTTTAATTTATGTAAATGTCAAAGAGAGAAAACAATACTGTTTTGAAACACATATGTTTATTGGGGGCGGGGTCGAGGACTATTGTCTGGTATGTAACTTTCAGGCTGTGCCCAGAACCACCTGCTCTGAATCATCTGAGATTGAGGTCAAAGAATGCAGATGGCTCAGAATGCATTTGTCCTGCACCTCAGAGATAAGGGTCAGAGGACTATACGGATTATTTGAGACAATCAACATTTTGAAAAGCGAGTTCTATAATAATATATATATATATTGGCTTACCTTCATGTATATGCTGTCACTTGCTCAGGTAAAGGGGAGTAGAGAAGAGTGGAAAGATGAACGAAGTCCCAGTTGTTAGTGTAATTGATCATCTCTTCTCCACTCATGCCAATGCACAGAGTATACACTCTGTTTCCTAAAATACAGAGCAGCTAATTAATGAACTGTTATTTTTTTAGCATTTTCTATTTATCGAATCTGTTAAATCAAAGAAGTAAAGAGATGATTCCTGCTATCTAAGACTATATAGTCAAAGGCATGAGCAACTTGTACCACAGTGAATGGGACAAAATAGGACATTCCATTTACCTAAAAGGAAGCCCATAGTTATTCCCAAGTAATTTATGGGTAATTTTTAAATGGGTGTTTATTAAATTCATGGAAGCTGCCATCTAGTGGCAAAGTAGAATATCTATGAAAGAAACCAACCTATCAAAGAGGGTGGGCGCAGTCTTGCTAATGCACATAATCCCACTATGAATTTCTTTTAGTCAGTTTTAGAAGGCTTCCTGTACCTTATAAATAAACCATCAAAGCAAATTATGTGGAGAGGAACAATATCACTTGGGGGGGGCATATAATGAAACATTCAAATTAATAAGGAATGACATAGAATCTCTACAGAGAAGGGGAAAGGACTGAGGACAACCCTGTTGTGTCATTGAATTAAAGGGCAAAGCAATCACAGGAAGTGCCGCTTCATAACTTAAGATGCTGTCCCTTCTAAGTCTGTGAACTAAGTTGATGATTCATCATTTTCAAATAAGTCAGAAATAGTAAAGGTAAGAAATGTTAAGGAGAAAGTTGAAGGTCATGGTGAAAATGTCACTAAAGAAAATTTTTTAGATGCCATGAGCTATATCACACACACATGCCCCTCCCTAATCCACCTGGAAGCCGGTGGTATGGAAGTCTGAGAAGAAAATAGGCTGGCTTTGGGAAAATTTGTAGTAAGCCTATACATACATTCCTTGCATATTGGGAAACAGTACAAGTACTTCATATTATTTTAGAGGGTAAGTATCTTTTTTTTAAGGCAAAAGCACCTTTCAGATGAATACATTACATGTCGTTATTTTAATTTCTATACAGTGTCTTCTAAATCACTGTGCAGACTGACATGTTAACCTTTCTCTGCATATTTTAAGTAAGAAGAGCGTGTTTCTTTACATCATAAGGGTAGGGGGGAAAAGTGTTAAAAAGCTTTCCTTGCGCAGCTGTGTCTTCTTCTAGGCAACCGTTTCTAGATCAGTCTAACAGAGTTAGGGAATACACAGAATGCTTGCATGTTATCCTGTCTGTCCAGCACCCACCCCGCCCCGTAGAGAGGTAGACGGGTAGGGCTTCAAAGTTCAGTGTTGTCCTTGCCTGCCACTGAGTGGATTCCCATTGACAGCAACCCTACAGAAAGAGCAAGGCTGCCCCACAGGGTTTCCTCGGCTGTGCACCACCAACCTCTCTGTTAGCATCTGAGCGCTTAACCACGGTGCCGCCAGGGCTCTAGAACCTCACAATCCAAAGGGGATGCCTTCTATGGGATCTGCTTCAAGTCAAGGTTTGAAGATTTCCTTCCACTGCGTCTGGGTTTGAAGGTGACAAAAGGCGGCGAGTGAGGGGAATGGGTCAGCCACCCAAGACAGTGGCCCTAGGAGTGAGCCGGGGCTGTCTTCCTATGAATCATCACAGCACGCTGTCAGGGTGGGGACCACCTTTGCCTTCTATGCAGAGCTGACGTGGTATTGCTCAAAGCAAGCACAGTCTGGCTGTAAATATACCACGACCAGCAGGAAGCACAGGAATCAGAGTGAGTACTCTGAAGATTTAGGAAATTCCATTCCAACGGTTATAAGCATCAAAAAAGAAACAGAAATGAAGTAAATCAAATTGACCCGAGGAGAGGCCGTGGCCGAAAGGGTGGAGGGAGAGAGAGCGGCCTTTGAGTCTGGCTCATGAGCAGATCTGGCCTTTGAACACTCAAGTCCTGAAGACTTTCATCCTCGTACCCAGTTGAAGACAGCCTGTATTCTCACGCCCTCTTGTTTGCATGATTAATTTCCTTAGCATATCCGTCTCTCACCTCATCAGCCACAGCCAGACCTCATTTGCCTGCAGGCCGTGGCAGAGTCTGGATTGCCATGCCCCACTTAGACCTCCTGGACACACTGGGAACAGGGGCGGGCCATCCTCAGCCCGAGGCAGCTGGATGCCGTCTGCCCGATCGGGGGTGGCCCAACATGGTAGCTAAGAGGATCGATCGTCTTCTCTGTAGCACTCGGAGTATGGTTACAGAGCAATGAACAATTGCCACTGTACGCTTGGAAGGCATATTTGACGCTGCAGTGTGGAGCCCAATGGTTGACGTGTGTGTTTACTTGGGCTAATGCTCACTTCAGAAGTTAATAATCCTCCCCAACGCCCGGCTTTCTTGTCTTCATCTCTCTCCTGACTGCATCCCCCCCACGGCCTGTCTTCCCAGCTCATGATTAAGAGTAACTGCTGGCCTCTCACTTTGGAATCTAGTGCCTTAAATAAGGTGACCACCTTAAATAAGGTGACCAGATTTGAACATTGGTAAAGCGGGACACCCTTGATAAAACTCATATCCTGGTGAAATAGCCACATGGCAGCCGAAAACCATCTACCCTAGCTTGTCCTGCATTCTTTCCAAAAATCGGGACTTTTTAAAACACCACGGGATGCAGAAGCAATTGTTAAAAATCAGGACTGTCCCGCCAAAAGCGGGACGTCTGGTCACCTTAGAGCCTCTTGCGTTTCCCTCTTCTCGAAAAACACCGCAGCCCCACAGGTGGACTTTTCCGAATGATGGGTTAGTTCAGACTGATATGGTCCTCTCTCAGTGAGGCAATGGAGTTTAATTAGAAAGAAGAAAAGAAAGAATATCTCTATGTTTATTATAGATCATTTCCCTTGCCCCCGATGGAGGGGACAAATGAAATGGTGTTATCACAGCTCAGCTCTGAAGGCCGCTCTGGAAACATGGGAATTCGCTGGGAAAGGCCCCTCTGGCCTGGAGTACCGGCCCTATAAACAAGCTGGTTCATTAGCCTCTTCCCTGGCGTCCGTGTGCCTGCAGCTAGAGGCGAATGACCATTAGCTTTAAGTTGGGGTTTCCTGGCTTTGTGAAGTTTGACAACTCAATTGTGTTGGGGTTATGTGTATTTCCCAGTTTTTATAGCAGTCAGTTTAAAGGAATGGAGAGAGACATTAAATATTTATTTTAGCGGACAAGATAAATGCAAGCAGCGACCAGGAAGACAGCTGACAAGACTGAAAGCTGAGTTTGTTTGTCCGCTTGCGAAGCATGGCTATTGTGTGCCTTGCGACGACAACGGGCAATTAGATAAAGGATGGCATACCATCAGGCAGATGATCATAAATATTTACTTGGAGCCCTGTCACTTAAGCATACTAACCTTGGAAGATGTCACTTCTGCAGGGAGTAGAATCAGCTCTTTCCCAGGAAACCCATGGCCTCGTGTTGAGGATCTCTAGAAGTTTCTAGAGCAGTCCAGGAGCTAAAGCAGTTTCTCTAGCAAATCAGTGAGCCTGTGAACGACTAGCGATGGTCAGCAGGGCCCCCCAGTGCACGTCTGGTGCCTAACCCCAGCTGGAAAGGGGCGCTGTGACTCAGGCTCCAGAGAAACGCAGTGGTGGCGAAGGAAGGACGGGTACGGTCCTCTCTCCTCGGTCCACCCTTGCTAAGGCGCCATGGCCAGGCTGCTGGGCCCTCCCTGTGCTGCTGCAGAGTTCAGGGACTTCGTGCCCGGCTACCTCAGGGGAGAGGCCCAGAAAATCAGCTCTGTTGAAAACTCTGCGGAACACTGGATGGCCAGCCGGTGTTTTCACTGGCCAGAAGGAAGCCTATCTCTGTGACTCTGCCTCTGTGTTTCCTCCTGCCCTGGAGCCCAGGAGCGGGAAGCAGCAGGAGCCGGGAGACCCCTGTGAGGTCACAGGCAGAATTCAGTGGAGTGGGTTCCTCAGCACAGAGGGGGCTCCCCTGCTCACTCGGCAGAAGGGCCAGCTACCCGGTTCTCCCCCACGTGGGCCCAAGTCATTTTCACTTTCCATTTCCATCGCCCCCTGCTAGCTGATAGAGGAATCAGGAGACCCCAGTTTTCATCCATGCTCCGCCCTTGGCCACAAATCCCCCGCCCCCCTTCCCGATCTCTACTCCTTTATCTGCAAATCCCAGGGAGGTCACTTTTATGGCCCCTGCCAGTGGTTCTTCAAGAATATGCGTCTGTGCATATTGAGGGGGGAAAGGAAGTCCCCTGAATCAGTGCCTTTCCTTCCCCAAGCATGACTTCAGGAAGGGCCGGGACAGTGGGGGTTTGGGTGGGGCCCCCAGCTGCAAGCTGACCACGGACTGGGTTGAGATTGCTTGTAGGACCGGCCCCGCCCAGCATGCTGGTATGTGTGCCTCTGAATGCCTGCATTCTGCTTCCCCCTCTGGGCTTCCCTCCCAGGGCCCCTGCCCACCTCCTGCTCCCGGCTGATAAGCTCTCCCTTGCCCGCTTGCTAATTGTCCATTACTGTTCTTCAGAATCACAGAACTGATTGGGTACCGCCCTGAGGAGCTGCTTGGCCGCTCAGCCTATGAGTTCTACCATGCACTGGATTCAGAGAATTTGACCAAAAGCCACCAGAACTGTAAGTTCTAGGGGTGCCCACGGGGCTTCCCTGTGTCCTTGGACTCTGGGCCTGTGTGGGGTGTGACCGGTGAGGCGAGAGTGAGGCTTAGTCATTTTCTTTCTAGAGGTGCCATCTTGTGTGGCGCACAGACTCCTCTACCCTCAGGATGGCTAGTGACCCAGGGCTGCCACCTTCCTGAAGGACACCTCATGCAAATTAGATCGAGTACGTCTTCCTCAGGAGCCTGGCCGTCTAGTGGTTACATGTCAGGCTGCTGGCTGCGAGGTCAGCACTTTGAAACCATCAGCTGCCCTTGAGCAGGAGGAACTTCTTTGAAGAGTTCCCATCGTGGCAGCACCCAGGAGCGGGTCTGCCCTGTCCTGTAGGGTCCCTGTCCTGTGAGTCGACATCGACTCGGTGGCAGTGAGTTTTTCAGATCCCTTCCTGCCCACAGGCAGGACCCCACCCAGGCACCCAGCTTACATGGAGCAGGGATGGGGGGACAGACTCTCCGTCCCCATCTACCGCCTCCCCTGAGCAGCGGCCTGCCCCGCACAGCCGTGTGCACCAGTGCTGCAGGCAGCTAGGTCACCTGTCGCCAGCGTGGGCTCTGTGCTCTGTACGGATGCAAGTGATGGGCACTGGGAGAGGGAAAAGAAAGTGCACGATCCTGGAGGAGGGCCTTGAAGGCTAAGGAGTGTGCTTGAGGCACAAGAGATGGTAGCATGTTACCAACTAACTTCCACTTTGGTGGGAGGAATAGATGGCTTGATATGAGAGGTGGGCCGTGGCTGTCCAAGAGCTTGCTGGCTGGAGTCAGAGAAGTCAGTTGAAGGAGGCTCTCCGGGCCGCCAGGGAGAGCCTGGAAGCTGTGCGTTTCAGCCAGAGAGAAATCAGGCCGTGTCAGCTAGGACCTTCCGCCACGATGGCAGTGCTCTCTGGGTGTGCTTCCGCATGTGGCCACCGAGTGCTTGAGGTGTCATGGGACAAATGAGGAAGCAGATGGTTTTCCCTTCTTTAAACTTGTTAGCTTTATTTTTTTTAATGTATTTATTTTTATTTAAAATTTTGTAACTTAAATGGCACCCCCGTGCTGCTGGCTACCATGTTAGACAAGGTAGTTCTAACGCCTTCCCTTGGCCGGGTTCCCATTTCGGGCTTCCCCTTTGGAAGCAGATAGTCCTAGGTAGTGTACTATATTCCATACTGCCCATCGACATGCAAGGACTCAGGACCTATAGTCCTGTTTGGGCTCGCTGCAGGTAATAGGAAAAAGTGGGATCCATCCCTTTCCTAGGGGCTCTTACTTCTAAGGAGGGACAAGGAAGTCTTTGAGCTCCGTGGGAGTGAGTGGCTCACAGCACTAACCACACAATCTTGCTTGGCATTGGGCACAGAGCAGACGTTAAATGAACAATCGCCCGAGGTGACGAAAATGTATGCTGAGAGCGCATGCTCCCAAACAAGTGCCCGTAGTGGTGCACACAGGGGTGCTGAGATCATAGGAGGATTGAAAATGACCAAGTTAAGTCTGAGAAGCTCCTGAGGGGCCTGTTGACCTTGGGGGTCCAGGGTCGGTTGTGGCCCAGAGTGGCAAGGAAGAGAATGGAAGGAAGTCTGAATGTGTGAGACCCCTACATTCATGCATCAGTCCCAAGGTCAAGACAGCTTCTGCTCCCAGGGCATGTACACAGGGCACTCTGACCCAGCTGGCCCACTGATTTCCCAGGGTCTGGCTTTCTGGGCCTCCCTTCCGTTAGCCATAAAACTAAGGAAAACCAAGCCTTCCTTCCCAGACTAGGGTGAAGTCAACACCACGGACAAATGCAGACGTTCCTGGGAATTGCAAAAGGACAAATTTAACTCTGTCTTTAAGGGGGGAGGTAAGGGATACTCTCTCATCAAATGAAACACAAGTTGGCTTCTTACTAGGAATATACAATGGAATTCCCCGCCTTCTTTTTAGAAACTCTTTTACCCATGAAGACAACTGGAAGAGAAACGGGCCCTATCAGTCTTCTCCCGACTCAGCAGAAAAGGTTACGTTTGCTACCAAATGAATGTACCAAGCATTAGACCCCAAACCACTTTCTACGAAGGCAGTTTTGACACCTGGGGACCCCGGTTATGTCAGAGTAGAACTGTGCTTTGCAGGGCTTTCAACGGCTGACTTGGGGGGCGTGGCACCTCAGGCTTTCTTTCAAGGCTTCTCAGCGTGGGCGCAGCATCTAGGGGTCGAATGTGCTCGCTGTGGCAGCCGCCCACCGAAACCCAAGCAATGAACCTCACTGCCCATGGAGTCAATTCTGACGCATCGCGTGGAACTCTCCCTGTGGGTTCCCAAGGCTGTCACTCTTTACAGGGTAGAAAGCCTCTTCTCTCTCCTGCAGGAGCGGCTGATGGGTTCAAATTGCCCACCCCTTGCAAATATCAGCCCAGTGCATAACCACTATGCCGCTAGGGCTCAGGGACCCTTTAACGGTTGCTGTGAAGAGTCACATCGATTCCAACTCATAGCAATCCTTTATGGGAGGTGAACTGCTCGGTAGCGTTCCCGATGCTGTATTCGTGATGGGAGCAGACTGCTTGATCTTCTCTCCTGCTGAATTGTCAGGTGGATTCGAACTGCCAGCCTAGCAGCTAGCAGCTGAGCTCATAGTCCCTGCGCCATTAGAGCTCCTGTTGCATAATTGTTGTGCCATGGCGAACAACCTGGTGCACAACAGAATGAAACCCGACCCCGTCCTGCGCCATCCTCACAATTGATCTGATGTTTCAGCCCTTTGCTGGAGCCACCGTGTCAATCCAGCTTGTGGAGGGACGTCCACTTTTTCTCTGCCCCTCTGCTTTACCGATCACGATGTCCTTCTCCAGGGATTGATCGTCTCTTGACAATATGGCCAAAGTACATGACACGAGGTCTCACCATCCTGGCCTCTCAGGAGTATTCTGGCCGTACTTCTTCAAAGAGAGATTTCTTCATTCTTTGGCAGTCCATGATATTTCAATATTCTCCACCAACACCATACTTCAAATACATCGACTCTAGTTCAGTCTTCCTTATTCCATGACCAACGTTCACATGCATACGAGACGATGGAATGGATCAGACATGGTTTGGATCAGACGTGCCTGAGTCCTCAAAGGAACATCCTTGATTTTCAACACTTTACAGAGGCCTGGTGCAGCAGATTTACCTAAGGCCTGCGTCCTTTGTTCTCTTGACTGCTGCTTCCGTGAGCAGTAATTGTGCTTTCAAACAAGATTATCCTTGACAATATCAGTCTTTCCTCCATTTATCAGGATGTTACCTAATTGTTCAAGTTGTGAGGATTTGAGGCTTCGTTTACAGTGAGTTGTAATCCAGAACGAAGGCTGAAATCCTTGGTCTTCATCAGCAAGGGCTTCAAGTCCTCCTCACGTGCGACAAGCAAGGTTGTGTCGTCTAAATATCGAAGGTGTTAATAAGCCTTCCTCCAACCCTGAGGCCACATTCTTCTCCATGTAAGCCAGCTCCTGAGGATTTTCTCAGCATACAGATTGAACAAGTATGGTGAGAAGATACAACCCTGACACACACCTTTCTTGGTTTTAAACCCTGCAGAATCCCTTTGTTCTGTTTGAACAACTGCTTCTTGATCCATGTACAGGTTCCCCATGAGCACAATGAAGTGTCCTGGAATTCCCATTCTTCTCAAAGCTGTCCATAGTATGTTATAGTGTACACAGTTGGCTGTCTTTGCATAGTCAATAAAGGACAAGTCAACATCTTTCTGGTAGTCTATACTCTCAAACAAGATCCACCTGGCATCAGCAATGATGCCCCTTGTTCCACGTCCTCTTCCGAATCTGACCGGAACCTCTGGCAGCTCCCTATCAATGTTCTGCTACAACCGTTGTTGGATGGTCTCCAGCAAAATTGTACCTGGCATGTGCTAGCAATGATATTGTTCTATAGTTTGAGCATTCTGTTGGGTCACCTTTTTTTTGAATGGGTACAAATATAGATCTCTTCCAGTCAGGTAGCCAGCTATCTGGCTTCTTCCACATTTCCTGGCGTAGATGAGTGAGAGCTTCCAGGGCTGCATCAGCTTGTTGAAACATTTCAGTTGGTAGGCCATCAATTAACACTTTCACTGCAGTTTGCATTTCTTCCTTCAGCATCGTTTGTTCTTGCTCATATGCTACCTCCTGAAATTGTGAAATGTTGACCAGTTCTTTTTTTGTTTTGTTTTTGCATAGTGACTCTGTATCTTCGTTTCATCTTCTTGTGATGCTTCTCACATCATTCATTATTTTGCTTATAGAATCTTTTGCTATTTCAACTCAAATCTTGAATTTTTTTTTGTTAGTTCTTTCCATGTCAGAAATGCTGAGTATATTCTTCCTTTTGGTTTTCCTGTTTGATGGTCATATTTGATTGTGTCTTCTCAAGCTGCCTTTGAAACTGCTCAGCAATTTGGGTCTCCAGCCTTCCCTTCATTTGCCTTGGCCACTCTGCAATGAAGAGCAAGCTTCAGAATTTCTTCTGACATCCACTTTGACCTTTTCTTTCTTTCCTGTCTTTTTAATAAACGTTTGCTTTTTTTATGAATGATGATCTTGATGTCCTCCCACAGCCCATCCGGTCTTCTGTCTTTTCCCACAGATGTAGTCAGTCTGATTTCTGTGTACAGTGAACCCTCGTTTATTGCAGTTAATCGGTTCTAGACCCTACCGTGATAAATGAAATTCCGCGAAGTAGGATTCCTTATTTGTAAATCAAATATTTTCGTAGTTAGAGCATAGAGGACATGAAAAAACACCCTTTAGTCACCATTACACTCGTATTACCCAATTTATTAAATGAAAAAGGGAAAATACAGTAAAACATTTTGGACATTACAATTATCATTTATTATTTATTATATTATTTATGGCATCTAGTTTACAGTATTACATATTTCACATACAGTATTATTTTACATAGTTCTTACAAATACTGTAATCAATAGCCTATGAAATGACTTAAGGGATGTACTCTACAGGTGGGTTGCCGTCTTTTTCCTCTGAAGGAGCGGGTGTAGGCAGTGGGTGCTGTTACGCAAAAACCGCGATAGAGTGAAGCCGCGGAAGTCGAAGCGCGAAGTGGCGAGGGTTCACTGTATTCTGTTTCCCACTTTTGCATTCCAATTGCCAATAATTATCCAAGCATCGTGATTGCACATTTGTTCAATTTCAGACAGGAGACATTAGTAGAATGCTTCAATGTATTGCTAGCTCTTGTGGTTGATGCAGAAATTTGAATAATAGTTCTATCGATTCGATGATTTCCTTGAAGGTGGCTGGATATCCTCCTACCACAGACAGTATTTATATTTCAAGATAGACCTCGAAATGTCCTTTTTGGTGATGAACGCAGAGCCATTCCTCTGGATGGTGTCATTCCCAGCACAGTAAACTAGATGGCATTCTGCTCATGAATGCCTAGAATGCTCATTTTTATATGTCCCATTTCATCTTTTTACAATTTCCAATTTTCCAAGATTCCTACTTCCTACATTCCAAGTCCTGGTTATTAATAGATTTTTCCAGGTGTTTCTTCCCACTTTGTGTTGTGCCCCATCAGCCAGTGAAGATGCTGGAAGCTCTGCTCCCACAAACTTTACTCCGATCCAGTCACGTCACCCTCAGAAGGCTGCTCCTCCGCAGTCACATTTCAAGCACCTTCCCACCAGAGGGGCACACCCTCTGGCCCTCCCGCTGGCAGTGTTCTGCTTCCACCCACGAGACCTTCAGTACCGACAGTGTGTCCATGCTGGGCGCAAGGTTTCCATCCGCTCACTCCTCCGAAGTGGACAGCCTAGGCCTTGTCCTTGAGCCGATCTTCTCTGGACGCTCTGCTGAAACCTGTTCCCTTTGGGTGACCCTGCTGGCCTGTGAAATCCCAGGGACACCGCTTCCAGCAGCAGCACGCAGAATCACCACAGTGCGACACGCTGTTGGACTGGGTCATGTGACGCACTCGAAGGTGGTTCACAAAGAGAAACAGACCACAGGCTCTCTTCCCTGGAGAGGCCCAGTAGAGCTGCTCTGAGCTCAGAGCCTGACTCCCAGTCAGAAGATCCCAGCCAAGCTGGATAAGCTGCCCGAGTTGGCAATTGGGTTCATGTCACTGGAAGAAGTATCTCTCTCTCCTCCCTCCCTTCCTCTCTCGCTTTCTCTGTCTCTCTCTGAGATCGTCTTTGGGTTGGTGCAAATACCATTGCACACAGACTCACATTTGTTCTGGAGAACTCCCTGGGCGCCCAGGCTGGAGGCTGGGTCAGACGGACAGTCCAGGGTGTCCTGACTTCAAGCACGCATGCGTGCGTCCCTGCCTCTGAAAGTTTAACCTTGCGATGACTGGAGAAGGTCAGTCCCCAGACCAGCCCGACTTAATTGAAAGCCGTCATTCCCAAATGGATTAGCTCTGTATGCAGTGTTACTCTTGTGGGGGACGGGGGTGGGGGTGAGTGGCGGCGCGTTTCTCTTTGTGGTATGAGTACATAATGTGCTTTTAGGCCAACAAGATTAAAGGCCATAAAAAGCCTATCTACGGAATAACAGGCCCCTCACCAAGGCTGGCCTTAATGAGCAGGCGATTAGAAAGCTGGTATAATTATATTCCACGACCGAGCAGACCCTCGCCTGTGAGTGCTAGTGAGGCGGTTAGATCTTTGCTCATTGCACTGTTTAATCAGTGAGAATTAGGGCCTTGAATTGGGCCCACATTAGAGCCGTCTGAACGCGTTAGCTCCGAGCACTTGAGATTGTGCAAGAATCACTTTGCTACAGTGGGAAGCCTCGAGGGGGAGGACGAACGTGATATCTCTCGGCCAAGTGCATGTGATTGTTCAGGACAGAGACAACAGCAAATTAAGTCTTCCCGGCCCCTTGTGGCTCGGGTGAATGAACAAGAGCACTGTGCTGAGAGGCCCACCGCCTGTCCTCCCGCCCCGACTCTGTCACTGTTGTCGTGGGCGGCGGTAAGCAGATCCTCGCCCCTCTGGCCTTGACCTGTACAAGAAGACCCCATCTGGCCTCCCTGTAGCATAGGACTTTGCTAAAGTGGGTAGGCTAGCATGATTCAAACCCCTTAGGAATATCATTGGCGGCTTTTTGTGACGTGAACGCGTACTTTGCAAAAGACCCAACAATTGCTCACTGTCCCACGTGTCCCCAAGGTAAACGGGGAAATACATCCATCCAAAGGTGTGTACACACACATGCTCATGGCAGTCTGATTCGAAACAGCCCCAAAGTGGCAGCAACTCCAGTGCCCATCAGCAGGCAAATGCGTCCATTCGGGTGTGTTCATGTAACGGAACACTGCTCTGTGTACTAGAGAAGAGCAGTGTGCAAAGAGAGAGAACGGCACAATGGATGTGCAAAGCACACCCAGGGAAAAGAGAGCAGGTCCTATTTCCACGCAGACCTCAAAACACCTCTGGGACGGCGAATGGACGGGCAGTCGCAGGGATCCCAAGTGGGAACGGGAATTGCCTCGGCAGAGGCGTCAGGAGTTTGTGGGCTGATGGAAAAGGCCGTATACCTTAATGGTGGCCAGAGTTACACGGTGTGTCCTCTCTGACCCGTACCCTTGAGTATCAATTGAACCTCCATCAAGCCGGTCGGTTAAAAATGGGAAACAAAGTGAGCCCACTAGAGAAGCTTAGGCCAGACACCGTTTGGACCATGTCTTGTCTACTGTTTTCACCAAGAGGCCTCTCAACAAATCACAACGTGTTCCGAGCTTCTGTTTCTTCAGATGTCCAAGGGGAATGTTTGTAGCTGTTTGACGGCAATGGGATAGCTCAGCCACGGCCTGATAACGGTGGTCCCACTGGGTGCTTTCCTGGGCCAGCCGAGTTGTCAACGCTTTCTAGGAGATGTGTGTGGATGTCTGAAAGCGCTGTGCGTCCGTGCATTGCTGCGGGCCCCACGCCCGGGAGGTGCTGGCTGCCTCCCTCACAAGAGAAGGTGACAGGCAGTGTTGGTATCGAGCGAACTGCATTCCTCGGCCTCACACTGTGCCCCGAGCTTGTCAGCAGTGGGGGCACTCCGCGTCCACAATGAACCTGGACAGCATCCCTCCGGGTTCCTCTCTCCCTTAACGACAGCCCTGTCCATGCTGCCCATAGGGCGGCCGGGGCAGTCTGCAGAATCGAAGCTGTGAGGGAAAGATGGCTTTCACCAATGACGTTGAGTTGATGTCCAGGTGCAATGAGGAGACTGTCCCCAGGAGCGATGATCCCGTTTCTCAAAGTCCCCAAGCTAGTCCTCTCCACCACCCCCTGTAATTTGAGGGCTTCTGAGCCGGAGTCCTGAGAGGAGGCTGGTCTTGGGCTGAAAGGCAATGGACGGATCAGAGCACTACCAGCAGTTCTAAGACTAGCAGGCGCCAATTAAAAGGCATGGTTGCTTTGTGTTGAGTGGCAGCAGATGGACTGACTACTCTGAGCTGGGGAAGAGAGGGCAATCCAGGCTCTAGACCCCAATGGACTTGAAAATAGAATCACCTGCAGGCACCTAGTTGGGGAGTTGGGACAGAGCACCAAGGGGCCTTCACAGCTACCGGTGAGGCTGTGCATATAAGCCACTTTCTCAGCCCCAGCGGGCAGAGGGGTGTTTCCCAAGGTGCCAGGTCTGACAGATGCCCTGGCAACCCCGGAGTATCAATGCAGAAAGAAAGTCGCTGCTATTATTGATAAGCAGGATGCTTTCTCCAGCCTGCTCATCGGGGTCCACCCCACGGGCTCTCCTCAGGGCTTCCTTCTGTGGAGCCGTGGGAAGCCGGGCAGGGCTGTGCTTAGCTCGGCCTGCAGTGGAGCAGATGGATGAAGCAGACTTGTCAGGGGATAGTGACGGTCCCTCCCCGACTGGACAGGCCAGAAGGAGCCATTCCACCTCCCTGGGCCTCCTGTGCTTAGAATTAAAGTGAAGCTTTGGGTGAGGTGATCTCATCCCCCCTCTCCCCCTGCCCCCCATCTTCAGTGTCTGGATCCTCCATCTGGGCAGGACCCCCACAGACTCCCCTCCCCTCGGGATCTCCCGGCCCTGCGGCGGGCTCTGCTCACCCTCCTCCCTGACTGCTGGGTCTCTTTCTCCTCCCCTAGTGTGCACCAAGGGCCAAGTGGTGAGCGGCCAGTACCGGATGCTTGCCAAGCATGGGGGCTACGTGTGGCTGGAGACCCAGGGGACCGTCATCTACAACCCCCGCAACCTGCAGCCTCAGTGTGTCATGTGCGTCAACTACGTCCTGAGGTGAGCCTGGGAGGGGCGTCGGGGCGGGCTGGGGCAAGTGGCGTGAGCACAGGTAGGGGAGGGGTAGGTGCCCTGGCATGACAGGCCCAGGGAACGTGAGCCTCCCAGGACTCTGCTCCCCATTGAGGGGCTCTGCTTGTCAGTAGGACCCCTCAATACCAGCCTTCTTTGAGGTTCTCAGGAACACCGAGTCGTGGCTTTCCCCCTTTTTCTGCCCCTTCCCCTGGCCGGTCATTTATCGTCATGCCTTTGCCCCAGAGGGGAAGACAGCACCGGTATCGGTGATTTCTAACCTTGGAAAAAGGGAAAAGAATTGCCCATGCTTTCTGGGAAGAGAGCATGCTGTCCCGTGACGACAGGGCACCTGGGAAGAACGCTAGAGACGGCCATTGCCAGGGTGACAAGAACCCTCCCGCCTCTGCTCCCCCCGCCGCCCTCCCACTCCCACCCCCCAAGCATGGCAGCCAGGCAGCTGCGTGGTCAGAGGGCCCCACGTGGCCTGCCACCCGCATGGCCAAGGACCTGACCGCCTGGCTCGTTACAAACTGCAGACTCACTACAGCTGGCTCCCCACCTTCCCGCCCAGAGGCCTCCCTGCCAGGGTTGCTGAGTCTGGGGGCGGCGGGTGTGGGCGGATGTGGGGGTCTGACGTGCCCTGTTGTCCATCAGTGAGATTGAGAGGAACGACGTAGTGTTCTCCATGGACCAGACGGAGTCCCTGTTCAAGCCCCACCTGCTGGCCATGAACGGCATCTTCGAAAACTGCAGCGAGGCAGCTGTGTCC